GCGCACCCAGGGGCAGGGCTGGCATGGCATGTGGTGTTGGGGATCAAACCCTGGCATCTGCACTTGCCTAAGTAGGCACTTAGTCTGCTAAGCTCTCTTGCTGATCCCCAAATATATTTCTTACGGGGCATTAAAACCATAAGAACTACCAGACATGGTGGTACACACCTGTAATCCCAGCACTCAGGAGGCTGAGGCAGGAGGATTGTTGTGAGTTTGAGGCCAGCCTAAGCTACAAAACGAGCTCAAGGCCTGCCTGAACTACATAGTGAAACCTTGTTTCAAAAAAACAAAAATATAATTTTGAAAAATAAAATCATAAGAATTCCCAAGGCACTGACTTCAATGGATAGTGACAGCAAAGTCCACATTGCTAGCCTGGATCTTTCCCATCTACATCCCCTAAACTCATTCCAAAGAGGTGCTGCATAGATCCCCATGGTGGCCTTCCTGCATCCCAGCACATCCATAATTAGGCTTGGGAGTTTTTGTTCTGACCTGCTCCTTCTGCCACACTCTGCCCATCTGCCTCATCCACAGGTTTAATGCATGAGGCAGTGTAGTGGATTTCTAACTGGTGGTCAATTTATTATACCCAGCTGAATTAAACTAGTGTGGTGCTCGGTGCAGGAGGGCCACCTGAGGATTGTTGCCAGCAGCACAAAGGCAGAACAGGAGAAGCTGCTGGAGCTGTTGGTTCTCTTGGGCTGTTCTGCTGAAGGGCCTTACCATGCTGGCTTTCCCAATGAACTCTGGAGGAGCTTTGGTCTTCATCTTGAGTATCACTTCCTGGCTCCAGAGGGGAAAATGGTGCACTGCGCAGCCTCATGAAGAACTTGGCTTTCCTCATTGCTGGAGGAGCTAGGGACCTCACTGTTGCTGAGGGTGGGTGGCTGTAGTATTTTGGGGGCAGCTCTGGTGCTTACCTTGAGTGTTGTTCCCTAGTTCTAGTTCAGATCCCTCAGCTTGCTAGCACAGATCCTTTTTCTCATTGGTATAGACTTCCTAGTTTCCACCACTGACCTTAGGGCCTTTCCAGCACAGATTCATGAAGTGGGCCTGCATGAGACTTTGTTGTGGGTTCTAGGATCCAGTCGGACTTGACAGGCATTGTTACGAGCTCTAGGTTTTCAGCTGGACTCACACAGGATGCCAGGATCCAGGCCCTTAGCTGGAGTCTTTAGTATTTAGTGTGTGGATAGATTTCCTGCATTTGTATATGATTCTTGGGTTATTCCTTATAAACCAATATTATAAAACATGTCCTGTACTATGTTGTTTGCCTTGCAGAAACCCCAAACCATGACAGGCAGAAGACTCAGCTCCTCCAGTATACCTCACTCCTTGCTGAAACTGAGTTTCATCCCTTCTTTCCTTCTCCTTCCATCTATGACTATGGATCATTCTTTCTTTGAGATCTCTCTGGAACGCCTTCATGCACCCTGAAGCACACTGATTCACTGTGGCTCTCTCATTCCTGTCCTTAAAGTCCCTTGTCCATCCTGCTAGGCATGTATCCCCTTGGAGTCATGTGTCTTTCTGTCTTTCCAACAGCCCCAGACTTGGCCTGTGTCTGTCTTGAACACACTTCACCCTCAGCATCTAAGCTAGTGCTCAGTATATAGTAAATCTTCATAAGTATTTGTTCAATTGGGAATGGAAAGGAGGCCAAGGTCATTGCGGGCAATCTTCAAAGCTTTGTTCCATGTATTTTCCTTCTAATTGACATAGTGTATGCATTCTCCAGAAGAAATTCCAGGAGCCCTAAGCCATCAGCACCACCTACTCCCCACCCCCACCTGCCCAAACTAGATCCCCGAAGTTCCAGCTGATCATCATGGACCTTCTCAGAAGTATACTCTCCATAGCCCAGTGAGAGATCAAGGGCCCAAAGACATAAAGGTACCTGCTTTACACACCTGTCTCACATCTCCCGCTTCCCTCAACAGCAATCTGGAAAAGCTCTCACTGGAAAACCCTGCCACCCCTTTGCCTCTGGGGTTTGCATCACTTTAGTCTTCAGGAATCCCCTGGCTCTAAAGTGGATCCACTCCTAGAAACAACTTCTGTTTTTATAGGCCGGTGGTAATGCCTCCCAGTCTCTCTCCCCTTTATCCCTTCCTGTACAAGACCCAGATATCCTCCTTTCTAAAGGCTTTTATCATGTCATTACTCTCCTCAAGGATCACTATGTCTCCCCTATGGCCTACTGAAATAAACTTATGATGTTCTCACGCTTTCGAGCACTTCACTGGGGCTTCTGATCATGGTTGGAGCTGCCCACTTCTTTACACACACCATCCAGCCCACCTTTCCCTATGTCTCCTCTTGTGTATGAGAGCCCCTGTGTATGCACAACGCAGACACATACCTATGCCCACGTACAATCTTTATTCATTATCTGTATGTACTAGGGACTTATTACATGCCAGGCACACCATACCTTCTTGTCTAAAGCAGCACTTCTCAGCATTGGCACCACTGACATTTGGGGCTAAATAATTCTCAGAGGTGGGGGGAGACCACGATGTACATTGGAGGATCTTTGCAGTACCTCTGGCCTCTTCCCATTTGATGCCAGTAGCACATGACAACCAAAACTGCCTCTGCACATTGCCTAGGATAAGAATTCCCCTCAATAGAGAACCATGGATCTCAGAGTAACAGGGGGAGCTAATTAAAGGTCATCTGGGGTCCTGCTAAAGAGGCAGGTTACAAGATCACACCCCAGAGTGAGACCCAGGGTCCAGAAATCTGCATTCCAATGGCCTTTTAGTGATTCAGTGGCCTCTGGTTGAAGAACATAGGACTGAGATCCCTGGGTAAGAAACACACCAATAATCCCTTGGAATTAGTTCACTACAATTAAGTTATGCTTAGGACATAAGATAGGTAAGCAAATATTTGCATGCAAGTGATGTGGCAGCCACAATGGGATTCAAGATGGCAGAAGCCTGCCTGAAGGACTAACCAATGATTGAGCCACATGCAGCAGTGCAAGTGTGAGAGAGATGAGGCAAGTTGGTGCCATGCCTGCACCTTTGCCCCTCTAGTCCTACTCCTTCCATTGTATATGTTCACATGTCCTCCTCCATGCAAATGTCACCCCTCCAGATAGTCTTCTCTAACTCCTCCATCTCACCAATGCCTATCTTCTCAGACAATTTTACACTTATTTCTCATCTTTTATATCCATTTTATTTCCCAAAAAGGACTCCAAACCCCTTGAGTGCTATAATACATTATCATCTTTTTTACATCTGGGGCTTTTTTTTTTTTTTTTTCCAGAATCAGCACATATAAATTGTACTTATTTGGTCAGACTAAGCTGACTCTAAAACAAGGTGGTATCAGTGTGATTTGGAGGGTCAGGATCTCCAAGGGAAGGATGGGTAGCAGTTGGTACACCTGCTGGGCTCCAGGCAGCTGGTCCTTCCACCTGAGACTAGGCAGAGCTTGTGAGAGCCAACAAGCAGTGGGGCAGCTGGCATTTGCCCTGGTACTGATACCTCTGCTATTGGCCAGGCAGGAGTTCTGGCAGCCCCAGAAGGAAAAAGATGTCTGAGCCCAGAACTACCTCATGGGGAAAGTAGCAAGACAGCAGTAGGCCATAGGCCTGAAGAGCTGAAGTTGGGCTGATTCTGGGACCTCTCTGTCCTTGCACAAGATCATGTCCAGGACAACAGCCACTAAAACAGAAGGCAGGGGTCTAGTAAAACCCAACAGACCAGGATATTCTAAAAATGTCTTTAAAGCCACTCACAACTCACAGAACACATGAGCTGCCACCAACTAGGAAAGAAGGCCCTCTGGGAAGGTCAAGAGCAGTGACTGACTAGAAATAAATGCATGGGACAAGGGACACCTTGTCTTACCTTCCCTAGCTCTGGGGGTGGATGGGAGGTGTTACAAAGAGGGGAATAACTCAATTGCTTAGCTTTCCAACTGTGGGCAAGTCTACAGGGGAGGCCAGATTGGGAGAACATGCCAATGAAAAAGACCCCAAAGGATGGATAAAGAACAACTGTTCTATTATATGGAAGTTTTAGAGGGGGGGTACACAGCTAGAGAGATATTTCCCTGCCTATAATGCAGGTGGGGAGACAGGACAGTGAAGAACTGCCCCCAAAGAGTGTATGTGCATGGGGAGGGTGCTCTGTCTACCAAGAGTTCTGGTATACAGGCAACCTAGAGCCCCCGCCTAGCAGTAGGGTGCGAGTCACCAGCAGTATAGCCCCCAAGCCAGAAGACCTTCAAGAGGTGGCTGGCATTTCAGTGTAGACTGCATTTCAGAGACTGAGGCTTTGCAGGACCTTCTGAGTGACACCTCCGATTGCCTTTTGTCTTCCCACAGTTTTCTGGTGGGTGGGGTGGAGTAAGGGGGTTACAACTTTTGCACAGCTCTGATCTTGGGCCTTAAAGATGAGAAAGAGCCATCTTCTTCAGAATGGATCAGGTTGTGGGTTCACAGACCCAGAGGCTATGGGACAGAGAATTCACTATCCCAATGCATCATCATAGCCGGCTGCCACCCACACCCAAGCAGAGGCTCTTGTGGAGATAAATGCTCCCCTTCTCAAGGCTCCACAAAAACGTAGTACCCGTCAGGTTTATAAACAAAACAAAAAAATGTACCAAATTTTGAGCGTTCAGGCTACTACCAAGTGGCCACGGAATTATAGGTTTGGGAAACACAGAGGATCCTTGCCGCCAGCTCCTGGAATTTAAATAGACATGTCAGCTTGGTTGCTTAGAATCCCAAATTGCTCTTGATTTTTTAGAGCAGAACGAAGTTGTCCGGGTCCCCAGCCAAAGATGAGCAGGAGCTCTCTTGCCGCCCACAGCTGAGATGCCCCTCGCAGCACCAGGACCCAAGCCTGATGCAGGGTGCTTGGGGCTAGGCGTAGATCCTACAGCCATTGGCCCCTGGGGACTCTGCGGCTATGGTCACCAGCGGTCGCCCGCAAGCCCCTCGCGTCCCCTCCCCAGGACTTTCTTACCTCTTGATGTAGTTCCTGCCATACAGAATCTGTTGGAGCAAGGTCACCAACGCGAAAGCGCAGATGAAAATGAAGAGCAAAGTTCGGTTCCCCAACAAATCCCGGTTGGCCGAGGGGTCTGCGTAGCGCATCCTCGCGGTGGGGCGCCGTGGACGCAGGGTGCCGGGCGGCCCAGCAATCACGCGCGGGATTCCTGGGCCCCGGAGGGCGCGCGGCAGACCAGCACAGTCACAGCGCGGTCAGCGTGGGGCGGACTTCGCAGAGCAAAGTTTCCGGGTAGCGCAGTCGGAGCACGGGTCATTGGAAAGTCTGTGGAGCCGCGGTCGCGACTGGACAGGGCCAAACACGAGGAGCGCACCCGGGGCTCTCAGGCCTTCCCGCCGCTGTCTTTACCTCTCAGCGCCGTGCGGGGCAGCAGTCGATTCCCCCGGGCGGGGCGACAGCAGGTGCCGGAGTCCCGGGGCTGCCCCTCCCCGCAGAGGTGGCGGCCAATGGGGATCTGGCCAGGCCGGGTCCGCCCGTGCGCTCCTGCGCGTACCGCCCCCTCCTCCTGGCGCTGGATCACCAAAGGCCAGCACTCGCGGTTTGCCTGGTGTGGGCCACGTCTAACCCCCCGCGCAGCGAGAGAGCGCGAAGGTTGGCCTTTAGTTCTGCTGTTGAGAGGTGGGGAGAAAAACACCCGGACGGTCGTTCTAACGACAAGCGTCCGTAAAAAGGGGGAAGGGTGGAGTGGAAAATGCAAGGTTTGAATCTTGGAATGAAAAAGGGGGTAAGAAGGGGAAGCCTGGCTACGGAGCCAGGTTTGCAGGGTAGGAACATTTGCATGCGGCTTGCAGGGCACTGAGTCAGCGCCGCGGTCGCGTCCTCGCGCGCTCCTAGAGATTTCTCCAGAGAAAGCGCAGCAAGGTCAGTCGGGCAGCCCGTCAAGGACAGCGCGCGCAGCTCCTGCATGCTAATGGCCTGCGGAGCTGCCTGCCCGCGCCCGGAGCCCAACTCATGCAGGGCAGAAATTCAGGGACTCCAGGCCCTCATCAGCACTGCTTCTCTCCACTCTGCCCCCTCCCCCATCCTCTATAAAGCTTGCGATCGTTTGTCCAAGATCCTGTTGTCACTGAGACCCTGGGACCTTGTCTCACCTTTGGAACTATTCGCAAATCCTAGGTCAGGCAGCTGGCTGCCTTCGGGTACCATGGTCCCCAAAAGCTTTATTTAGTAAGCCACTACCCTCAGAAGCATTCTGTATTTAAGAGTGTACGCCAGGAAAAATAATCACAGAAATGCAACGCAAATGCCTTGTTTCTGCGGAAATCGTCGCCAGGAAAAAATGACATACCAACCCCCGCCCCTGCCCCACCCTTGGGAGAGAGCCTGCCATCCTGACACCTAAGTCCCCTGCGAAGGTGAGTCATGTAACTGCGGCAGCCCCAGTTGGACGATTCTAGGGGCCCCTCTTCAGGACCCCGCAGGCTTAAGGGTAGGTTCCAGTAATTCCGTTGAGAATTTGACCAAAATATACATCTCAGCAAGAGAGAAGTTTGGTAGGAAGTACCCAGGTGCCAATAACTTCGACCTTGTAGTTTCTGCAAACTGGAAAAACCAAGGAATGTTCTGTTTTCAAAATTAGGGTTCTCTCTATAATTTGGAATTTGTGTTAATTCTCAAGGCAGAAGTGCATCTTGCACTATTTATTAAGAGGTTATGTGTTTATGCAGGAGTTCACAGGTAGGCTTTTTATCTGATTAAAGAAATAACAGACATTTGGAAAGCCCAACTCCTGCATTTGCTTGGTGTCTTACATATCAAAAAGCACTTGCCCTCACGTTAGTGAATTTTCACCTCCCAGCCACTGGCTAACCCACATGACAGTTGTGTGAACAAAAGCCCTGGCTGCCTAAAGCAGCTCACCTAGCAAGGAGTCCTTGCAGTGTGAGACACAGCTTTGCTCCACACCTACAGGCAGTGCGCACAGTGCTGTTTGTGGGAGCGCCTGCTCAGCTGTGCTCCACCCTTACCCATCACTGGCCCAATGCTGCACTGATGCTGTCTTCAAGGTTTGGGACAGGAACCCTGCATGCCACTCTGCACTGGACATCACACACGAATTGTGTAGCCTGCAAACAAGTTCCAAGTTGACAGAATGCTAATTTTTACCTCCACTAGCTGGCACTCAAAAAATGTAGACTTGATAAGGTTCTTTTGTCCTCACTCCAGGCAGAAACATTTGTTTCCTTTCTATTCTTGCTTAACTGCATCCCGCCCCCTCAATAGGGTCCCACTCTGAAAGTTGTCTTTGGAGGCATGCTTCTTTGGAAAAATGAATCTGCTTTAAAGCAATAAATCTAAATTATCTTAAAAAACATTTTAATAGCTGTATAATACATTTACGAAAGTCTATAAACCATAAATGTACAGCTGGTTGAATTTTCACAAACTGAGCACATCCATGTGACTAGCACACAGATCAAGAAGCAAAAACAAGCTGGTGTGCTGGCACACACCTGTAATCCCAGGTTTTTGAAAATCTGGGCCAGAAAGATTACAATTTTGAGACCAGCCTGGAGAACTTAATGAGATTTTGTCTCAAAATAAAATTATTTAGAAAAGGTCTGAGGATATAACAGTAGTAAAGAGCTAGCCTGTATAAGGTCTTGAGTTCAATCTCCACTACTGCAAAAGAAAAAGAGAAAGACACCCATCAGAATGCCCAGAATCCCTTCAGACTCCTTTCCAGTTACTATATACTCTGGAGTAACCACTGTTCTGACTTCTAGTGCCAAAGACCACTGCACTTCCTGCTCTAGTATTTTCTATAAATGGAGTCTTCTTTGCTGAATGTTGGTTGTGAGATTCATCCATGGCATCATGTTGCGTGGGCAGACTTCTATGACTCCCCTGATTCCTTACTCCCTCTTGCACCCACACCTTCATCCAGTGTGTCAACTGAAGACTAATCTAGATGCTGCTCTGCAAGGCTTTGGCAGGTGTCAGGCACAAATGAACTGATACTCAAATCAGAGGACTGACTCTACCTCCTGATTACATGGAATCTTCATAGGGGGACTGGGATCCTCCTAGTAGAAGACAAGAAGGATAGGAGTTTGTCACCTGTTGGCTTTTAAGAGTAGACTACCAGGACTGGCCAAATAGCTCAGCAAATTAAAGTGCCTGCAAGCAGGTACAGGGGCCAAGGGTTCAATCCCTGGGCCTGCCTTGCCAGCCCCGCCCCTGGGGTGCACTGAGATGGCAACTGAGACTGGGCATGGCAGCGTGCACCTGTAATCCCAGCATTTGGGAGGTTGTAAACAGGCGGATCACTACGAGTCTGATCTAGTAGTGAGACCCCAAACACCCTGTAGACCCTTCCCTAAAATACAAAAAAAATTTTAAAAAAAATTTTTTTAGGGGCTGGGGAGATAGCTCAATAGAATAAGTGCTTGCCTGGCAAGCACAAGGGCCTGAGTTCAATCCCTGGTTCCACCAAACCAAAAAAAAAAAAAGAGTAGACTACTTGGCAAAAGGATGCAGATGGCCTCCCAAAACTGAGCTGGGCTCCTAGCTGACAGCAAGTGAGCAAATGGGGAAACCCAGTCCTCCAATTACAAAAGGAACCCTGAATTCCTGTGACAACCTGAATGCTTCAGAGGATCCTGGGTGCCAACTGCCCATACCTTGATTTCTATCTTTGAGATAGATGCCATCTTCACTGGCCCCAGATTTAAGATCCATACATGGGGGCCGGGGAGACGGCTCAGTGGAATAAGCGCTTCCCTGGCAAGCACAAGGGCCTGAGTTCAATCCCCGGTTCCACAAGAAAAAAAAAAGATCCATACATAAGTGTGTGGTATTTAGAAAAGATTCATACATAAATGTGTGGTGTTTAGGTTGCTAAATCTGTGGTCATTTGTTTCACATCAATATTGTTTGATCTTAAAGCTGCATCATATGACCCTGTGTGACTACAGCACAACATATTATCCCACCTTACTGTTAATGAACATCTAGGTAGCTGAGACCATTAACTTCCCAGTTCATGTTGTTTTGATGAATACATTTATATCTATCTACTGGGCATCTGCACTTGGAAGTGAAATTGCTGGGTCAAACAGCAAACATGTTCAGCCTTACTATGACCAGATTTCCAGGGGGATATTCAGCCTTGCCAAAACTTAATAAAGGTCCAGGTGGCCCTGTCCTTTAACTGGCTAACTCAATAGTAAAAAGCCCACCAAATTATAACCCAATTAGTTGAGGGACAGTAACAGAACCAAAGATACTTGCTTTCCATAGGGGAGGCCCCTACTCACTCTCTCCAAATTGTCAGGGGATAAGATTGATGCTAATGTTAGGCACAGTTGGAGCCTTGCAGTGACACTCTGTAGATGTATTCTCATCACATGATGCTCTGCAAATGATCAGCAACAGTCCAGTGTGTGTCTGCTGAAGTGGCTCTTCTCACTGCATTTTAAATCTCACTTCTTCAGAGCAGCTCATAATATCTTACACACACACACACACACACACACACACACACACACACCCATGTTTTACAAGCATCTATAGTGGAGTCAGGGATCTCAGGTTGTAAAACATGGGGTCTGAAGTCCTCTGTCTTGTTATCACTAGGGAGCCAGCTTCCACTTTAAGCCAATTTTATATTCTGATTATAGAACTGCAGCAAACACTCAGAAAGACTTGCAACAAAAGAGTAAACACATGGATAAATGATCATAATGGCAGATTCAGTGAACACCATTTTTATATTGTAATTGCCAGGAACAGGGACAGCTGCATTATTGTTTAAAACACACACTCACACACAATTAAGCCAAGAACAAATGTCAACACTGGCACAGTTTGCTAAATTACTGATAACTGATGGGCCTTATTCATGCTGTGAGCACTGTCTCCAATATAAAATAGAAAGATTTTTTTCAAAATGATGTAGAGGCTTCTGTGAGTTTGAGAAAGCCGGCTTTTATTTCACATAGCACAACTGCAACCTGCCAGATTATGTAAGTGACATTCCACCCATGTGTTAAAGGAGTTTGTGATAAGTACATGCTGTTCTTGTGCCTCTTTACATTTATGTTAACAAGCAGGCCTGCAAGAGGCTGACTGCTGCTGGCTGAGGGACATTTTGTCTGTGGTGAGAGCATCTTGCTGCCAGGTGAGCAGAGATGCTTCAGTTACAGCCCTGTAAATAAGAGGTCTGGTGCTTGCCAGTGCATGGTTAGCTGCAGACGGACTTTACTGCATCAATCTTGTTTTTAATAACATTATTACATAATAAAGCTACAACTTAAGCCCTTTATTCAGTTCCTTTATAAAGTATGATTTATATTCTACATAATTTATGATAAACCATTTATAACCTTGAACATGGACCTGAAGTCACTTTTGTGCTTCACATTTCCA